ACAGGCTCCGGACGCACAGGCTCAGCGGCCATGGCTCACGGGCCCAGCCGCTCCACGGCATGTGGGATCCTCCCGGACCGGGGCACGAACCCGTGTCCCCTGCATCGGCAGGCGGACCTCTTAACCACTGAGCCACCAGGGAAGCCCCGCTAATACATTTGATGATCAATATTGGCATTATCTTTTCAATAATGCCAGTGTTATAACACATCACATTATGGTAGATGTAACCTGAAAAATAAGAATCAAAGATACTGACACATTTACTGGAGTCTCATCCAGTCTCAGATAAGCAGCCCAATCCATCGTCATATCATATGATGGGATGTCTCAGGGTTTCCACTCCATCTTGTCAGGTTCAAAAGCAGGAGTGGTCTCAGCAATATATGACTTCACACTTTCAGGCATTTGGTATAATTGGACTTAAGAGACTATATCATTTCTTGCTCTGAGCTTCCTTCCAAGCATTACCATTGGAATTCTCTCATTGCGTAACTCAGTTATTATTCATTTACCCTTGGCTACTTACTATTTCTTCTCTTTGTACCCAAACCTTTTCACCTTGGAAGGAACATTAGGTTCAGCCACTGTGCTGGTCTAGATCACAGGCAGCAGTAAGAGTCTAGCCAAACAGCATGTTCCGCTCTGTCCACTCCCATCCACGTAAGATAGGGTTACATAGGTACAGGGTTAGTGGGCTATTTCTTCCAATAGGCAATGTAACTGTATTCACTGTTAGCCCCAGTATTGCCCGATGGAACGAAAGTGCAACCCACCCCGTCAGGCCCTTAGGAAAAAAAGGATCTCGTTGCTCAGGAATCATCCCTGCTTCCAGCAACATAGTTGCATCCTTGGTCCAGGGACCACTGCCTCAAGTAGGCAGAAGAAAGGTAAGGTGATACAGGAAAGAGAGAAAGCAGTAGAGTTGTCACACCAGCACCCTCACCCACCCCCTCATCCCCACATTCAGAAAAGCAGAGGAATTTGTCCAGTGAGGACAGTCCCTCAGCCCCGCTCACGTTGACTGTGAGCACAGATTCGTGAGGACACGTAAACCAGACTTTCATGCCTTTCTCTCCTCCCATTTTTTGTTTATAAATGTCTGGGGTTTTTTTTTGCTGTTTCTTTGGTTTTTTTTCTTTATTGGCCGCACTGCTCAGCTTGTGGGATCTTAGTTCCCCGACTAGGGATCGAACCCGGGCCCCTGGCAGTGAAAGCGCCAAGTCTCAACCACTGGACCGCCAGGGAATTCCCTATCTCCCGCCTTTTAGACAATCAATGTTTTGATTGCTCATTCTAATTCTTTACCAAACTGTTACTCCGAGGAAGATATCTCTCTGCCTGTTGTTGGACACAATGGTCTGTAAATAGCGTTCCTTGGTCTGAAGAAATGTGACGCAGTGGTCCAAATCAGTGCAATATCTCTGTTCCAGTTCTTTTGCAGTACTCCGATCATTTGCATCTACCCCTGGGTAAGCAAAGCCCAGTCCAGAGTCAGAGTTATTCTTGTCAGGATCCACTTGCCGTCCCCCAGGGCTACCGGCATCAGCCTGACTTGCCAGCTTTGGGCAAGGACTCCCCCTCGGGAATCTGCCCCAGAGCCAGCTGTAGTCTCTGTGTCTCTTGTTGGCAGACAGGACGGTTCTTGTTGGCATTTTGTGACTCAGAGGATACCAGAGGAATACGTCTAGATTGAGCCCCTCTCTGCATTGCTGCAGCCCACACCCCAAGTGTCCACCCGTTTCACAGACCCAGGTGGCTACATCAAGGGAGCACACTAGGGTATCTGCTTGTCGATTCTAATCGCCTTCTGATGGCGTTGACGTGGCCTACTTTAATGCACCCCTCAAATTCCTATAATGATTTCCATAGAGCCATGCCCTGTTTCCATTGGCCTCCCAATAGGCCAATCTTCCATTGTCCTTCTGCCTGACCACATGGCCAGGTCATTGGCCACTGCCCATGAGTTGGTGAAGACCCAAGCATAAGGGTAAACAGCATGCAGTGAAGTTCACCAAGCTGATTTGTTTTTATCTTTTTCCATCAGAGTCGTGGCCTTCCAAACAGAATGTTGTCTGTTCATGTTGAAACTGCCATCCATAAACCAAGCAGCTCTTTGTTGGTCAGTTGAGAGCTGTTTATAGGGCACTGTCCAAGTGATCGTAGAATCTGGCAGCTCCTCACATGGTTCCAAAGTCAGTCCTGGGGAAGAGAGTCTACCCACTCGTGGATACACTTCACACTTCATTCCCCCGTAGCATGTTCCTGTACAAACCATGTCTATTTTATTATAGAACTCTTCTGAGCACTGCCTTCTTCATTAGAGCATTTCTCTGACATCACCAGACATCATGGGTATTTCAGGTTGCAAGATTATTTTATGCCTTTCAGTCACATGGGCATTTCCAGTTAATGTCTGGTGGCAAGCTAGTAATTGCCCCTCAGATGGAAATTTTCTAGTCCACAATTCCAGTAGTCATTGCTGGGAGGTGCTTACAGGCTTTTGCCATAAACCACAGTTACACTCCACACACAGCTATTGTACAGAGGATTTGTCCAGACAAGCACTCCAGCTTCTATGAAGTGTGGGCTCGGGCAATCTTATTCATTCCCATTTAGCATGTGACTTGAAGGAAGGGTTTACATGTCTTCTGTTTTACAATACTACGTAGGGGAAATATTCCCCAGTCAGATGCAATATCCATCCCCATA